CTTGGGGCAACACTGAAATATGTATGAACAGAAGAGGTACAGAAGGCAACGGTTTTGATATTTCACGCCGCAAATAGAATCCAGCCCTACATCCACGTATGTAGATACATATACACAGCTTCTGAAAATTGTGTCTGATATTTCAGCCAGTATTCTATAAAAAGTCCCAACGGACAATAAATCTTTCATTCGTAAAATAGTTAAAACAATAACTTCCATATTTAATATTTATTATTTTATAGTATAAACGTTGTTTGATAAAAAGATTTTCATTTTTTACGATCTTCATACAGCAGGTGGCATTTAACATATTTGACAACGAAATTATAAAATGTTCAATGCCTATTTTGGTGTAGATTGGTTGTAATTACAAATAAATCGGATGTAATGTTACTCGAGTTTTAAAGGGAAGTAATGGTTGGAAAAAGTGGAAGACTATTAAAAATGCATGTTTCTGATTTACAATAATTTTATATTATACGTACATCATTTATTTTTATGAATTTGTTTGTATTATGGGCAAGTAATAATTGTTTGAAAGTAAGAACACTAATAAAATTTAATAATTATAGGTGCAGTGGAAAGTAAAATTATCTTGACGATAATTATATAAAATAGCATGTATAAGAAATATAAAGTGTTTCAAGATAAAACATTTCTTCGGTATTTCTCAGAATAAAATCAAAGTTACTTCTTTCTTCGAGTCGGAGGAAATTCTAAGGCTTAGTCCAGGTCCAGCCTCCATTGCAAGTTGGACCCAGATCACGGTTGAAGCACTCGATGATATAACTCTTGGATAGTACCCTTCTTCTACGTTATCGTCCATTTATCACGAAACGTCTTAAGACTGCTCTGTACTTCCATAAACTTCCAGAGCAGTCTGTTGCTTGTAACATACAACTTAATACCATAGATTTACCAACATTGCAAATAGCTACTTAAGTCAGTGCAATGGTCCATGGTTCATAAGGTTCTAAAAAATGTTAATATTAAATTTTCAATTAATATAGAAGTCAGATAATTTGTTTAACTTCCGTCCGTGCCGATTACAGAATGTGTGTTTAGTGGTGATCATTATTTTAAACTCTTGAATATAATTCAATACGATTAACACTAAATGTACCGCAATCGGTTACATGACCAGTTTTAAAATTTGATTTAAATTTCTACATTTTCTTTCATCTATTTAATTTTATATCAATCCTTATATTATTCAATTAATCAGTTGATCAGTTCTTGTCCTTCCTTTTGTTTAGGTTTCTAATAAAAAAATTCTTGTCTAATTTGTTTATCTTTATTTTATAACTAATTACTTAGCTGGTTCGAGTTGAAATAGTTACATATATAATGTGCCGATGCATTAAAAAATGCAATGAGTGAGTTTGGTAGAGTTATAACTGAATTTCTGGACGACAGAGTATAAACGATATTTATTCACCATTTTTTTCTGACGTTGGATATGCATTACTGTCAATGAAGAAGAATATTTTCTAGATGTAAGTGTATTATTATACGTATCTGTTATAAAATTTAATAAAATAGTACCTTTTGTCCAAAGATCTACATATTGGTTTCTTTTATGCCATAATGGCTACATATGATCTTTTAAATAAAGGATCGGATCGTCATTTTCATCACGTTGCTTAATATTACATCAGATTGCCAGAGGATAAATTTCTCCTGGGATTCCAGAATAATTTCTACAGCGTGTAGACGGAAGAAACTTTGAATAAAAATTCACCGTTATGTAAATTACCTGGACATAGGCCCAAACTATCTGCCGACGGAATATTCCGTCATGACATTATTGAACATAATTTCCTGAAACTTATTTAACTATCACAGAAAGTGAAGAAAATTAAATAGAACAGGATATTCATTTATATTCATTCTTGTCTAAAGTATTTTGAATATAAAATTCAATATAAGATGTTCATAAACATTTAGTTTACACATTTAAATACCGTTAACTTTAATAATTAATCGTTTTTTTAATCCGACACTTCATAATTTTTGACAAAATCCTGTGAAATTTGATTTTCAAGAACATACTACAGCTATGTAGACATGAAATTGTATTGAATAATTGTATTACAAGTAAGAAAGGACTATTAATTGATAAATAATATTGGAGACAATGCATATAAGTATTAAATACAATGAAAACAATGATATAAACTATCAACACACGAAAATATTTTATTTTGCAATAAAATACTAAATAATTGTATATTTAAACTATATAAGAAAACACTTTTAAAATTTGAAAAATTAAGCAGCTAAAAAATAATTCTAATATTATTATTTGCATCTACAATATTATCCAATTTGTTAACTAAACTATAGCTGAGCTGCCTAAATAAAAAATATATGCCTATGGAAAAGAAACGAATATTCCTACTTCTGGTAAAATTAAAATGTGTCTATCCAATGGGTCTCATAAGTAAATTCCAAAAACACTAAGTATGTTTAAACTTCTATAGGACCGTGTGACTTTGAAATCGCATTATATTGGCATCTCGCTGATTTATTTCATTTTGCATAGCAAAGTGACGAATAAAATTAAGTAATTAACACTAAAACTACCGGACAGGACAAAATGACCCATTCCTGATTTCTTCTTTTTGCAATATTTAAAAAGATAACAGTTGCTTCTCTGAGGAATTATTAAAGAAATTGATTTAGCAATATGCAAACTGAATTGTAAACCAATTACAGTCACAATAAATGGAACTTGGAGTTTCTATACAGGAATTTCAAAAACTCAATTTAACTGCTCGGTAGTTTTAGTATTAATTAACTTAAACTTTTATAATCTCAGACGTCAAAGTTCAACGTCATTGTAATTTTAAAATGACAAGGTATATTCATTTTAATACAATCATTAAAACTATTGAACAGATTGTTAAGTTGTATTTATGAATCATGAAAATTATAACTTTAAAACCAAAGAATTACAATGCGCATTCATGTAACTGCTCGAATCAAAATCGACTTAACTTGTAATCCAATAACGTTTAGAAAACTTATTTTCCGTCAAATCGTCGAGTTTAGTAAATCTGGTGTTAGGATGACACATTTGCTCTCTGTGTAGCCTCTGCAAGTCGGAAACGGTGGGACTTCGCATATGCATTTCACGCAATAGGAATCGTACGTTGTATTTTGGTTCACTTCGTCTCCAATATGTATCGTCAGATTACCAAATCAATACATTTTTCTCTCGTCTGTAAGTTTAGGAAAATACAAGAACTAATATTCTCACGCATACATATGGTGATCATTTAGTTAATAATAAAATTAATTGATCGCAGGAAATTATTGTTCATACTTGACAATTATCTGACTAGACATTTTTTTTGCACTCTGTTCAATCAGTAATTCAATGTATAGTTCTTAATAAAACAGGTAGAAACTCTGTAAGAACTTAGTCCATTTAAGTACTTAAGAATAGTTGAATTACATGCGAATATGTTGTAAGTGTAATCGTTACTCTGCATTGTCTACGTTTGTTTCGAAATTCAGACGACTCTAATTTCATGTATAATACTACAGTAAATAGTACATAGTTCTAGTTAAATTCTGGATAAGATTCCCACAGAATAGAATGTATTCTAGACTTCGAAATAGTTCTAACTTGAAGCTTGTACATACAAGATTCCAATTTGGTAACTATCTTGTAGATAGCTCAGTAAGTTTCGATGTCTAAGATAAATTGAAAATTTGATGTATATTACTGCTTTATGATGTTGGAAGTATTATATCATTATATCATTGGAAGTATTATATCATCACAATTATTACAATAATTCTAAACAGCCTCGTATAATATAACCGAACGAAGCCTACGAATTATTCAATTTACACTAATTGTCAATTGATCACTATTCAATCAACAGCGACAGTTTCCATTTACCGAGCAGTTTCTCACCTTCTGCCACGCTGAAAATGACGAGAAGCATACTAAAGACAAAGTTTGACAAAATCCAATGGAAATCACGGTGCATGGTCATCACCGGGGAGAACAATGCTGACAAATCCCTGGTCTCGTGACCGTGTCGCTTCTTTTATAACTTGAATCATGAACCCTATCTCCGAGAGACACCACGAGTAGGGCATCTCCTGTGCCAAGGTATTCCACAAGGAAACCTTCATTGTATGTGTTCCGTTGCACGTGTGGAAAAAGTAAAAAACAAACGAAAGATTGACAAATAACAGGATGCGGAAAGGGAAGAAAGTTTCGCCGGTATTTCCCCGTATATACAGTGTGTCTCACAAACTTTGTCCACTTAAATATCTTGGTTATTTCAACTAATACGATAAAATGTTACCGATAAAAATTGTAGGGTTTGAGAAACTACAGAATATGGTATAAATTTTATTTTTGCAAGTGGAGGCGTAGAGGATATATAGCGGTCACCTGTGCTTTTTTTAACGGAATGTATAATTTTTTATGCTCCATTTCAAAAAGGGACGATAGTGAGGACTCCGTGTATTCTTGTAGTTATACTCGTATGAGCGAATGCTTGCCTCTGTACGCGGAACACGCGACTTTGTGAAGATTAACAGAAAAATATACGTATTGTAAATACTAGTCAGTGGTGTCCCCTTAGCACACTATAGTATTTCTTACACAATGTCGCATTGTGTTCCGCTTACATTTCCGTTTCCGCAAAACAGGGGTGTGCTCTTTAGGGTCTTCACCCCTCCGGAGAGTAATCCTCTCCGTACCTACTTTCAGCTGTTTGTATTGAATACTGCATAGAACTACTCACGTTCACAGTCTTGGACAGTTCTTATAGTAAAAATACCAGAAGAACGTTGATCGAGAGTCAGCAGCATAACGGAAAGCAGTTCGATAAGTGTGTGTTAAGGTACTGTTTGCTATAAGTATGCACTCAACTGAACATCGCTAATGCCCAAGTAACTTTTGATAGTCCGTACGAGATCTACTGTGACATGAACAGACGAAAGAAATTGGTACAAATTATACATGAAAATGCTTTATTATACACTAAAATTGTCAGTAACATTTTGTTTATATTATATAACAAAATACTATTTAAATTTAAAAAATGAAGAAATTAAAACATAAATACGATATTATTCTTTGCATCAAAATACAATAGTAGCTAATTTGGTAACTAAACTGAGCTGCCTAGATCACAAATATTCTTCGTCGTTTCTTTTTCCAAAGGCATGTAACGTTCCTTCTGATAAAGTTAAAATGTGTAATAGCCAGTGGATATTAATCCAAATTAGTACCAGGAAGTGACGGGGGAGCACATTCTCCATCATCGCGATGCATACAGGTTGGAAACGGTGGAACTTCGCATACGCATTTCACGCACCGGGAATCGTACCCAGTATCCTGGTTCAGTTCGTCTCCAATGTACATCGTTAGATTACCAAATCGACACATTTTACTCTCGTCTGTAAGTTTAGGAAACTATAAGAATTAATATCCTCGTACACGCACATGATGATAAATTAATAATACAATCAACTGATCGCGAGAAATTATTGTTCATATCTGACACTTATCTGACTTACACATCCTTTCGTACTCTATTTCAATTCGTAATTGAATTTATGGTTCTTAATAAGATAGGTGAAAACTCTGTAAAAGCTTAGTACATTTACGTACTCAAGAACATTTGAATTACATGTGAATATGTTGTGAGTATATTAGGTACAAATTAAACTGCTCACATTGGAATCTGAGCTTCGAAAAAAAAGTTTCGAAACCCAGACGACTCTAATTTGATTTGTAATACTACAGCAAACACTACATAGTTCTAGTTAAATTGTGGATAAGATTCCGGCAGATTAGAATACATTATAGACTTTGAAATAGTTCTAAATTGAAGCTTGTACGTGCAAGATTCCAATTCGGTAACTATCTTGTAGACAGCTCAGTAATTTTTGATATTTAACGTAATTCGAAAATTCAATGTATATTACAGCTTTATGACATTACAAGTGCAGTATTAGATAAATATCTTCTTCTACGTTTCTCGTGTAATAAGCAAATAATAATCGTAAATACTTTGACTACTCATTATTATTCACAGTTAAGTCATTTTTCCTTTGAATGTCGTCCATAATGTAATCAACGAAAAGATATTTTAAATAACTACATTGATAGATGATAAACAGTTGCCACTTAAAATCGGCAATGCATAGTTCAATCAAGTTCAACATATTAAATACAAATGTATCTTTAAAATTCCTTAAAAAAGTGAAATAAGACATTATAGCCAACTTAATAATTAATAAAAGTTTATTAACTTAAACTGTAATTTGTTAACGGTATAGAGATAGTAAAACAAAAAATGTTGAGCTAGATTAAATTACTTAATGAAACAGAATGATACGTGACGAGTTTATTAGTGAATAAATGTTCAAATTTCGACTTCGGTGAAATATAACAAACTTTCATGTAGTAAACGATAAAATGAGTTCATTATCTTTGTCGTTAGAAGTATGAGATCTCAAGTGAATATTTTCGATTTGTTACCTACTGTTAATTATCATGACAATTAATAAAAATAAACGTACCTGTTTCCACGACAGCTTTAGCATCGTGATTACTAATAACAGTGTCATTTTCATTTTCTACAAGAATGGGAAAATTTTATTAGAAGAGATTACTTTTGCAAATGATTCACGGTTGCTATCTCACAATATTTCAACAACAGAATTATTTTGAAAACTTACGACATCTACTGGCAATATTGCAGTCGGTTTGCGGATTTTGACCGACATAAAAGACCGGCACACAATTTTGACGTACATCATCGGCTCCTCGGAATAGAGGCCTGCAGTGATGTTTCTTGCAGAAAGGTGCAACGTTTTCACCTAATCATGTGATTTCTCATAAAATCTCCATATTAGAAGTGATAATGAAAACTTTTTCAAACTTTTTTAAACACTGCTTCTTCTCGATAGAACATATACAAGATACAAATACGCATAGATATATTAAATAAAAAATTCAGTAAACAAATTAACAATTTTGTATGCATCATACATGATGATTTATCAATTATTGTTATTCGACTGTTTAAAGATTTAAACTAATTTATTTTTTGTGAATAAGCTGATTCGACTATATTGAAGAAGCATTTCGATGAACGAAATTTTATGCAAACAGTTACTGATACTCCTTTACGTTTTACGTTATAAATATTGTACCTTTGTAGTTTGGCATGCAGTAACAATTCAATCCTGAATCAGATTTTGGTTGGAAATATTCCCCTTCTTTATAAGTTTTTCCATCAACCTCACAAGTTGCCCTCTTTTCACCTTCCTTCACTACAGTTCACAATCAAGTTTATTTGTTATTTCACATGCGAATTCTAATCGTTCTAATATCATCAGAAATTAACAAAAAGATTGGATTCAAGCATTTGTGAATGTCCTGGTAGAAAATTACCCAATCACTGTTATAAAATAGTAATATTTTACATTATTATAGTAACAGTATAATTGTTACTACATTTTCTATTATTGTTTTATTACACAATACATTACGTCAATATCAATCGATTTCGTTGATAAACATACTAACGATTAATTCATCAACGTCAGATGGACTTCATGTTCAATTGTAACTAAACAACCAAACCAAATAATTCGATGGTCGTTATCATTATGTTTATAACATATTACTTTGATTTTAGATGTCATTAACGAGCGTGAGGAATAATGCCTTAATTTTAAGGAAATTATAAATATATGATTTTACTATATCCCCATTGATATAATTTAGAATATGTAAAAAGTGTAATAAATGTAAAACAGAAAAAATAAATTTTAAATTATAAGTGCTTGTATACAATGCTATAATTATTTATTGGGACTCTGACAACGAATAAAATTTTGTTCTATTATTGAAGTCTCTTAATCTTAATATTGTTCTTGAATAAAACTTACTGCGATAAGTTTACTTACAACAAACCAACGATGTTGCACAGCAGGTGTCAGGTGTATTTTTATGAAAACAATTTTCCCTAACGTCGATTTCCGAGAATGGACAGTCTACTATCGCACACGAGAAGTATGGCAGTCTATTTACAACAATAAAATAATGTGTTATAAAATACATTCCTCAAGACGTATCAAAATAAGACCCACATTTTTCAATGAAATCTTTTTATTTTCCATAGTAAATGATAGTATTTGCTGAGTGACATATCCCCACAATGTTTGAGATCATATAAATTCTTTATAAAAGAGATACGTATTTTAGAAACTTCTACAATATAAATATAATTGAACGCGTATTCAAAGCGAAATTGTAAACTTTGTCTCACATAAGTTTAGGGAGTCCGACCATTCTGGCGCATAATGAATTCTATCAAAATTATGTGATACATGTTTACGCTGTTTTTAAGTGACGCAACTAGAGGAATACATATTGTAACCGTCTTTTTTAAACTTTTAGTTTTCAGGATCTAAACGAACACAAATTAATTTTTCTAGGAACAATAGAGTAAATTGTACAATTAATCCCTGTATTAAAAATACTCACCCGCCATTGTACCCTTCTACGCAAGTGCAGCCTATATCGCAAGCATTTGCATCCTCATCCTTCAACGATTCACCAATGCTATATTCATTGCCATTTGCATAACATTTTTTCTCTGACAAATTTTTCAAATGGCTACAGTCAAACGATTCGGGACAGCAATCATTGGTATTTTTATACACTGGTTTACAGTTGAGACCTTTGTAGTATGTCAAAGGTCCTGAACACTTCGATTTGTCACAGATCTCTTTATAAATAAAATAAACAAAATCAATGAATAAAGTTGATATTCGCAGTGTGCAGCATCGTTTAAATGTGTACCATCACAAATTAAACTAAAACAATAATACTAGATGAAATCAGAACATTTAATGTAGATATACTTGAGACTATTACATGGGGTTGTTTTATTTTTCTTTCGGTGATGTAATTTATCTTTTACGTAAGTACGGTTCCATTATCCAAAATTAAACATTTAAAACCGGAAAGAGGTAGTATACAACGCAGCGTATAAGAAAATAATTCCAAACGGGAAAATAATGTGATGCGCGAAAGAGTTCAAAGTATACAAATCGGGGAAAAATAATAGAACATTTCTATTTTTTGGAATAAAGACCAGACGAAATGGCGTAATAGAAATAAATTTCAAAGAAACATTCTAAAGATACAAAGTACTGAACTATATCATTTTTTTACTGTATTTTAGTTCATAAAGTCCAACTATTTGAAGTCAACCTACATTTTTTAATGGTGGTCAAGTTCAAGAGAAAGTTCAAGAGAAATGGTAGCGTTTTTAAATCTGGAGGATCTCTACCTATGCAATTATGAAATAAGTATTGTTGATACTGGAATAATTAAAATCAGCGCGCCATAATCTAAACAGTGAGTTATGACATACGAAAGGTGATACACCGAAATACTGCCATACCATTATTAAATAACTTTTAAATTATTCAATTGTTATTATTAAATTATTGCCACATGTTAGTAAAGTAGCCCGATAATACATTTCGAATATTCTTTGAACTTAATAATTGAATTTACAGGTATCATTTAAATTTATTTCACACTTACGAAAAATGTTGAAACCAAATTTTGCTATTTATTTTTCTACGCAGACATATATGTCATATACTTTAGCAATAAACAGGAATACAACTGTGCACAGTCGTAAGACATGTATATAACAAAACATGTTCAGCGTACTGTACCAGTAATGAAAAGTACTTAACAATCAACCATTAATATACACCATTAATAAATAACAAATCTTACGCACGCGGTGGAATGAAATTCTCAATAAAGAATTAACAAATTTTTTTTTTTTGGTATTACAATTTTTGTAAACTAATTCATAAAACTTCATATTTCCATAAAGACTCACAGTTTGATCATTAAGTCACAATCATTACAATAATTCTAAACAGCATCGTGTAATATAGCCGACTGGGGCCTCTTCTAAATAATACAATTTACACTACTCATCAATTAATCACTACTCAGTCACCAATCACAGTTCCCATTTGCCGAACGATTTCTCACCTCGTGCCGCACTGGAAGCGACGAGAAGCGTCACGAGGACGAAGTTTGTCAGAGACCAACGGAAATCACGGTGCATAGCCATCATTGGAGAGAATATCGCGGACAAATCGTTGCTCTCGTGAACGAGTGGCATCTTTTATACCTTGAATCATGCACGCTGTCCATGAGAACCGCAGCAAGAGGGGGATCTCCTGTGTCAAGGTCCTTAAAGAAGAAACCTTCGTTGTTTTATCAAATTGTACAAGCTGTTCGCGGAGGACGTCACTGACGCGGGTATGTACGGAACAGTAAGAAAGAAACGGAAAATCAAAAGTGACAGGAAGTGGGATAAGGAAGGAGGATCCGCCGGTGTTTCCTCGTATATTATTATGCACACGTCCCAGTGTTGTAGGAATACGTGAGGGACCCAGCTAACGTTTTCAATATGGCGGATGTCCTATCGATGGCCCGATGACGACGTTCGTACGTTCCGCAAATTAGTCACGTACGGTTAAATCATATATATTAAGGTTGAATGAAAAATATACAGAAATTGTAAGGTAATTGAACTGTTCATTAGTTAAAACT